ACACCCTAATACCCCATAGATGTCCACTTTCGTGTATATCTAAGTATTGATTAATTTTTTGCGCGCACTCATTCGATACAGTCACGTCATAAAATAGCTTCCACACATAGAACAAGGTACTCGTGGTTATTTTTGCTGATTTTCAAGCGGTCCGTCAATGTTTCTTAAGTTTGAAAAACTCTTTTCATGAATGTATTTGATTGCAAACACCAAGAGATATGATCACCGAATATGAGATGTCATCTAAAATATTATTTGTCTCTAGAAAATTCCTGAATCTCCAGTAGGCATGATCTTAGTTGGGAGTTCTCATCATCTATCCTATCAGACATCGAAGTCACAAAGAAAAGGTCTACAAAGACAAGTTTATTCAGTTATTTGTACTGTTCAATTTTTTTAATCTAACCTTTACTATTATAGTGTGCGAAGGAGTCTATCATGAATGTTATAATAAAAGTTTATGTAGTATTATTGAACTCTCATTTAAGATACATGTTCTATGATTAAGATAAAAGAGTTGCGCAAATAAAATATGGACGTAATTTCGTTTATGGTTCCAGTTTTTTTAAAAACTATACTATCGTTTTCAGCATTATCTGTATCAAGAATCACTGATTTTTACAATTAATGTTTGCTATATGAAAATCTGAAATTCATCTCAAGTAAATGCTAGAACGAACGTATACCACTTGACAGACAGTTTGTATTTCTTTGGTGAAGATTACTTTCATCAAACCAAGTAGTGAGTAGTGAATGCTTTCGACTGGCCAACTATTCTGAGGACAAAAACTCATACGAGACATCGATGAGCTGTTTTTATTTTAGAATGTATAGTCATTCTTTCAGAAGAGGATCAGCGAACCCTTAGAATTAGCGTTATTTGTGAATAGTTAAAAGACGAAATCTGTAAAGTAGTAGATAAAACTTGCTTTATCTTTTCCTTGTACTGGCGAAAAATGGAGTGAAAAATGTTTTTGCACTTCTCATATCAACTACTTTGTAAGCAGCCTTACTGAAATTATTTCAACCAAGAAATGAAAAAATTTTTAAATACTTTCGATAGTTTTAATTAACTGAATATCTTCATTAATATTAGGATTCGTTGATTATCTTCATTTTTCTGAAATTGGATCTGATCAACTGATAACAAATTATAATTAAACTTATGGGTATACCGAACAACAATTTTTGTTAGTAGAGCAAATTACAAATAAATAAGAGAGCACTTTCCATCTCTAAATCCATTTTCTAGCAAACAAATAAAATGTGATGTATCTTTACTATAATTGTATTGAAAAACTTAGTTGAAAAGAATAGAGTATTTTAACTATTGAATTGTTGTCATAGTGTCTCGAGACTTTTTTAAATAAAAACATTTAACTAATTTCTACACACTTTTGTTTAAATATGAATAGCAAATTTGTTGAAATACGTATTAATCAGGGATGTCAAATCCAAATTTGAAAAACCAGTAGATGCCTGCACAAAAATCAAAAGTTGATAGGAGATTTTGACGGAGAAACCGGGAGAAAAATCAGGAGACTTTTTCGAAATCAGCTAGCTATTTATCTACTTTGTTTCGAAGAAACCTGAAATTTACATTAAACTAAACGATAGATATGCTATTCTTCGTAGGAACTGATGTTCAATTTGTTCTTTGACTGTTATATAAAGGTATGGACCATAGGTTATCCATTCTACCGTTCCTGGTATTTTTGCAGTATGACTATATTTTTCTGATGATTTAATTGGTTTCAATAGATTCGAATAATTTAGAAGATGATTGTAAGACTTTGTACAGCTATCATGGGTAATAATCTTCATTTTGAATTCTACATTGAAAAGATTTTGCTTCATACCACTTAGGAAAAATTCAAAAGTAGTGGCAAAGGTACTGTATTTTGGCATAGAAAGTTTCAGGAAAATTTCTTTTTAATTGCAGTGATAGTAAAAGCAGTTCTCTATTTTACTTTAGTATTTCATAATTTTTCACCTAATATTATAATAATAATATTTCGATTAACAGTTATTTTCCTGTTAAACGTTATGGTATACTAATGCCTATTTGAAAAAAGGCTGAATTAATATTTCCTGAACAACTTTTGACGAAAACAAGATAGGAAGCTGCGACTTTCATTGGTCGAAAGAGGAGATGAAGGTACATCAAATCATATATTATAGATTATTTGACATCATTTCTAAGGTTTTGAATCGACTTCTTGAAAAATAATATTACTTCGTGTGTTGATTACTGCGAAGGTTCGATTGTCAGATGAAATTTCATAATGTCAATGGAAGATCTACAATACTGAGCAAGGTATTGGTATTTAGAATAAACTATTCATGAGACATACGTATTATAATTGGAGTTCTAAGTGATTTTCGTAGCAATTTCTGTAAAAATTATTCGTGTTAGCCTTTTCCTTTTTGATAAAAAAACGTCTTTTTCGACACTTGAAAAATTAACTAAAAATCTCTTCGACAATACGATAGGAAAACTTATATAATATACGATTCGATGCACCTTCATCTCCTCTTTCGACCAATGAAAGTCGCAGATTCCTATCTTATATCCATCAAAAGTTGTTCAGAAAATATTAACATTTCAAGAAATCAGGAAAAGTCAAGAGAAAATATTAAAAACCAGCTTCTGAATCCAAGAAATTTTTTAATCAGGAGAAAAGTCAAAAAAGCGAGATTTTCCTGGCTAAATCAGGAGATTTGACAGCTCTGATATTAATGAATGCTGTCAGAATTTTGAATTGATCGATAAGAATAAATGATCTCTCTGAGTATTAATGTATAATCCTATTCAAAACTAATTAAGACAAAATGACACGAAATGATCATGTTCTTCATCTATTTATTCTCTTTTGAATTAATTGAGAAACACAAAGATCTATGAGAAAAAATCTAAAGAAAAGGTGAATTAGTTCTATGAATATGACTATATTAAAGAGTAGTTTAAAAAAAGCAAAAGAAAACGTTAATAACTTCTCATCACTCTTTTGCTCTACTTTTTTTCATTCAGACTAAATGAAAAAAATATTAGAATCAATGACAACTAAAAACTCACTTAATTGAAATAACATTCTTTAGAGACATAAATAGAACTTTGTTTTATAAATCAGTGATAATTAATAAAAAAATTCTATAGTCAATCGATTTTTTATTTTCTAATGTTAGAGTTATTTCGTACATCTAACAACATTGAAAATGTTAGTCAAGTATGTTTAAAATAGCTCTTGATTAATTCAGAAAAATTTTCAAATATTAACTTGGTTCGATTAATTATTCATCCGATGTCGCTAATTTTATTATATTTTTTTGACTATAACTTTACATAGAACAACGTTATTTGAATACACTTTTATTTTAGACTGTAAATATAGAACACGCAAAATACTCCATTTATATTTCATCATTGTACAAAAATCCAGCTTTCAATTTAAAAAAAAAAGTAATACTATAATACAATAATTAGGCAGTCATAGTTTTTCGTTGCATACTTTAAATGAATAGAACATATGTGATTTCTCTATGATTAGAGTGACGACAATAACTAGAATATGAATATAATCCCCAGAGAGATGCTTATTATCTTTCACATTTTAAGATTCTTCGACTTTTTTCATCTCTGTGTTTAATACATGATAAGAGTCATATAGTATATGCATTATCAGCAAGGTATTCCATTTATTCCTCCGTTTCTTATTCTAATAATCTTCATACATTCTCAGGTCTCTATAAAGATGTCATCTAATAATGTTAGAATAACTCCAATTTATATTAGCGGTAATTAAAAATAGATGTTGTTTTTTTTCATTATGAATGTGTCAACAATATTACTGTTTATAGTAATATTTGAAGTATAAATGATTTATTCGATATTATATTAAGAAATCGAGATTTTTGAATAATTTCTCATTAATAATAAAGAAAGTGTTTATTTCTAAAGTTCTTCAAGTTAAGATAAATGCATTCATTAATATCAACAATTAAAAATAAGATCCAATAGATAACAATAAAAACTAATAGTTTTCTATTGATTTTAAATTGATTAAATATAAATCTGTTTTTTATTGTGAAGTAATTCATCGTAGTACATGAATATTCAGACAGATAAAAATCCATGAAATAAGTTATATTATGATTTAATTACATATACCTTCTCTAAATATATGTAATGTTCCTAATTATTTTTAATGACTATTCTCTAAATTTATATGATTCATAAATTTCTCACTGTTCAGTTTTTATCAATTTAGTTTTAAAGCTTGAAAGTTCATTTATTTTTTAGTTCTCAATCATAAACAAATATATATATATATATATTCAATTTTTATATTTTTATTCTAAAAATAAGATTTGCAAACACGTATAAATAAACAAGTTTTTCATAAATATACAAATTAAAGGAAGAAAAAAAAAGATTTAACAGATATATCAAAAATTTTAAATTGATGAACATATTCATGATGAGTTAGAAATGCTGCAAAAAAAACAATCAAGTGTTCGTTTTTGTTTTTATATTACTCCTAAGAAAAAAATAGTGCGAATAATCCTCACGAGGTCAGAATACTAAATATAAAGAAGCTATTTATGTTTTAAATGAAAAAAATTAGCAACCGTAATCAATGTGAAAAGAGAACAAAGAATAGAAATCTTAATGTCAGATTTCATCTTAGAGATTAGGAGAGAGATACTAAGAATGTTAAGGAAAACTCAATCTAATTTTTCTTTCTAAAAAATTCTCTCAGATTTTGCAATATTGTCATAGTGCATTACCGTTTCATGGCTGTATCGCTTACAATCTGTCAGAAACAAATGAAGCTTGTTGTCTTATACCTTAACACTTGTATTAGATTCGATGAACTTTGGTTTCTAAAATAAGAGTCATATCGTAATCATCAATAGAACAAAGTAAATCATTGCTTATGTAGAATATGGTGTTAGATAATGATATTTAATCATACTTTAAATAGAGAAAAAAAATTCAAATGACAATGACCGATAAAGATATCGAGATTATAAATGAAATCACTAATCAAATAACATTTTACGGACCGTTGTTAATCATTATTAGCGGAACACTTGGTAGTCTTTGTAATGTTATTACATTTACATCAAGACAATTGCGTTTTAATTCATGTGCATTTTATTTTTTATGTTCATCAATATTTGATCTATTTTATTTATTATTCGGTGGAATAACACGTCTTATGATTGACCATTTTTCTAATGTATTACCTAATACATCAGTTCTACTTTGTAAATGTCGTACTTATCTAGTTGTTGTTATACCATCATTGTCTACTATTTTCATAATGCTAGCATCGATGGATCGGTGTTTATCAACATCTAATTCAAGAAAATGGCGCAACTTAAGTCGAATAAACATAGCTTGGCGTGTGGCAATAATCACTTTAGTAATCTTAATGTTTTCTACTTCTCATATACTTTTCTTATTCGAATTACGTGCAAAAGATGTCAATAGCAATACATATATATGTGGACCTCGTAATAATATATACAAAATATTTATTTCAATTTATGTTTTTTTGATTGGTCCATTTATGACTTATACAATTATGTTCATTTGTACAATGATTACTTTAATACGAATTCGGACGTTGAAATATCGAATGGGATATTCACTAAATCGAAGAAGAAAAACAATACATGATAATATGGATCGTCATTTAATAACTTTATTGTTCGTTCAAGTTGGTTTAGGAATATTGTTAACGTTCTTTCGTTGTGGTTTTTTAGTTTATAGTTTATCGACAAACAACATCAACAAAAATATTTACAGAATAACTGTTGAAACATTTTTCGATAAATTTTCTCTTATTATTTATTATATGAATTTTGCTAAATCGTTTCCTGTCAATACACTTACAAGTCCACTTTTTCGTCGGATCTTTCGTGAGAGAATAATCAATTTAATCAGATTAATATCGAATTTTACAAAAATGAAATAAAACAAATTTATCAAAATAAAAACTATTTAAACATTTAATAAATTTCTACGTTCATTGTTTTTGAAAAAAAAAATGATTTCGTGTACGATCAGATTAATAAACAAATCAAGTCATTTTAAACTAAATATAGAATATATTTATTTCAAAGAACAATTCTCCGATTAATTGTTGAAAAATTAAGAGTGAAAGGCAAGTTTTATTTCTTGATGGATAAAACAATATTTATGATCAATATTGATTCATTGTTATCGATGGAAGTCATTTTTTATATAACGAGAAACAACTTTGAATATTTGTTGTCTTTTTTTAGTTTAGAATAATTAACCCTTTACGGCTGACTAGTTGAAAAATGCTGCACCCCCATAGGGGAAAATGTTGCCATATGGCAACATCCGACCGGAAAGGGTTAACAGAACTGTTTTGAATGATCATATAGATGTTTTTTGTTCAACCTTTTATTTTTATATAAAAGAATAATGATATTATGTTAAAACTCTTTTATACTTGATAATTGTGCAACATCGAAATAAACTTCAGTTTATCAGTAAAGACTAAATTTTAACCCTTTGAAGACGGACTTTTTCTAATAAAAGAAATAAAGCCGAACTGTCACAATTAGTTGTCATGTAGAAAGTACTAACTATCATTATTGTTATACTTTTTCTTCGTTTAAAGACACAAAAAAGAGGGCTTTCAAATAGAAAGATAAACGAAACACACGAAAAATCTAATTTAATCTCACGAAAGACTTTTGTCTTTAGAAAAATGTTCAAACATTGTACATAGAATCGTTGTCCTCAAACGACTAAAATCATATGAACTAAATTTCAAGTTAATTCAATTGAAATGACCTATATGTCAACTTCATTGATCATAGTAACATGTTCTATTTACGTGACAATAGCATGTCAAATAACGAAAACAGAAAAAAAACAGTATTTTTCGAAAGTTATTGCCAACTAACGATAAAATAAAATTTATCAAAGGAAAAAGTTTCTCTGAACCCACATGTTCATGTATTAGATATGAATTTGATTGATAGAGAACTATATTCAGGGTGGATCACGACTAATGATACGCATTCTTGTTTGAATAAATGAATTCCTAGAGAAGTACTATCTTCTATCGATATGAAACTATTCAGATTATTTTATTTAATAGATAGAGATTTACATGAATCACAAATAATTAATTATCTTTCTATTAACTAGACGATATCTGAAGTCAGCTCAGAGAGCGAGAAGGATGTGAAGCATTCCGAATGTTGGTTTTGAATTTTCGATATTACACAGAAAACAAAACCTCTTAGTATCTATTGAATTGATGAAAATTTACTATCATTGTTGAACAATTGTTCTTGAATTTATATTTAACTTTGCTTTAATTATTATGGATCGACATTCTCCTTAATTCAATATGTTGACATGTGAAATCGCTCGGAAATGATGTCGTGTTTTACCAAGCGTTTTATTTAGATACGATAAATATCGATATTTAGCGTCATTTATATATAAATAGTGTTTATTGCATATGCATTCAAATCAATGAGATTGTATTCGTTTATATTAGTATCAAAAAATCACTGTCATTCAGATACGGCTTGCAAATTTTTGCTATGTTTTAACGCACCCATGCTTAATTAGTTTACGTTAGATAGATTCCCTTATGGAAAGGATATCAACGTTAAATGTTAGATCAGTTCTCCAGTAATACTTTTTTTTTTTACTGATGGTAACCTAATGATTATTATATACTCGATCTTCTGTCAAAAAATCAATCTAAGATCACCATCTTCAGCTTTTTTCTGTACATGCGTACCTAGACTACGACACAGGAGTACGAAAGGCCGATAGACCGTCATCGTTGCATTCCTCGAAACAATTCAGTCAATGCATAGACCCCTATGTAACTAAGTAATTACGTTATTCAATACGTATCCACAAGGTACTGTTGTGGAAACTAGGCATTATCAGCTATGAAATGATGCTGGGCAAGTCACTAATGGCTATTCTTCTCGGATTACTTGTTTCCTACTAGCATGCTGGCTACGTTATGACATACGCTTGATCTTTTAGTTAGTTAACATGTGTGGAAAACTCAGGTGATTGAAGGCAAGAATTCAACATCGAGTCAGTATTCTGTCAATAGCTAGAGTCAGTCAGAATTGCAAGAAGAATATCATACTATTGAATCAGTCGTTAGGAAGCACTCTATATCGTGAGGTAGCCAAAAAACAGTGGTATTCGACCTTTTGATAAGTATCCTAGTGAAAGTACTCGTCTAGCGAGTACTCTGGTAGAGTTTTGTTGCAAAATATTGATAGACCTTTATTTTGTTCAGTACTATTATACTATATTCGTTTTATTTTATTAAACTGCAAACGCAAATATTAATTTCATGATTAAATTCAATTTAATAATATTTGAAAAAATTAAGAAAAATGAATTTACTTTCCTTAATATGACACTGGTTCCCTAAGAATACTGGAGTTGAAAAATTATATAATAAATTCAGCAACGGAAAGTAATATCTTTTTATTAAAATCAAAAACTTTTAATTTGAATCATTTTTTTTTAGAAAAACATAACATAAAACATTTTAAATTTTCGATCTGTATAGATCATCTTCAGAAAACGATGTTATTAATGTTGAAATGGTTTTATATGCTCAAATTCCAATCTACGTCTTTGTTGTTCAATATGACATTGTTCTTGAGATTTGCATTGTTGCATAGTTGTATGAGAATGAAGGGTTTGTGGTGGTGGATGTGAGTATGGGTGGGTGGAGGTGTGGGCATAAGTGGACTTCTTGTTTCAATGACACCCATACCTACACCACCACAGCCCACCCATACCCACATGACTCACAATTTTTGGGGAAAAAAATACTGTTTTTTTCTCAAAATTCAATTTGAAATGAAAAAGACCATAAATTCGTATTGTAACAATGTTGTTTGCTCCATGCAACGTTCATTGTTTTCTTTTAAGCATAATCAACAAGAAAAATACATGATGAAAATCACTTTTGTTGATTGGCAGTTTATGTCTGAAAGAAACAATTACTTTCATAAGTACGTTCGAGAACAAATTGAACAATCAATAATTATTCTTTATTTTTTATACAAGAGCTGATTAATAAAAACAAAGATTAAATTATAAATAATTCTATTTAATTGTGAAACATGTTTTTGTGCAAAAATTTCTGCTTTCATATCAAAAAATGCCTCGTGAAATTGCCTAGAAAATTCTTATTGAATATTCTATAAGAAAAGATGAAAATGATAAGGTTTATGAAAAATAATAATGCATTCAAAGTTGTCAAATTTCTCACCAAAAGTCAGTTTTTTTTCATTATGTTAAGGTGCGAAAATGTAACTATCCGCTTTGTAACTCCCGAGCAGTTTTATCATCTGCTTCTAATTTAAAGCATATTACATCATAACCAGTTCAAAGAGAATTTTTTCACATTCATGCTTTTTCACTCAAAATGAGCATCTTTGGATCGCAAATTCGTTCCATTGTAAACAATTATTGTCTCTCTCTGAAACGAGTGTTTTTTTGGATTCAAACATGATTAATGTTTACAGTAGGGTACTGACTTAGCATTATCATTAACATTGCATTAATTAACTAAAGCTTTTCAAATACTTCTGTATTACTTAGAGCATATCAAAAGTAGTGGCAGTGATACTTTTATACTGTACAGTAAACTTTAACGAACTTTCTGTCTATATATTCTGATAGAGAAAAGAATGCTCTATATTTCTATGCTATTTGATCATACTTCAACTAATGTCATAATAATAAATTTTCGATAAGATTTGTTTTGCCATGATATGTGCCTGGTTGTACTAGTGACTATTTAGTGGATATGTTTTGAATAATTTTTGATAGAAATAACATAGAGAGCTGGAGTTTTCATTGCTTGAAAGAAGAAATGAAGATGCATCGAGATATATATTACAGGTTTTTTTTGACATGACTTTTTTAAAGATTTTCAATCAATCTCTTTGAAAATAAACCTACTCGTGAAGTGTTTACAGTGAATTCTAAAATGTCAGGTCTGAATTGAAACCGCCAATGGAAGAACTACAAGACTACATGAGGTTTAGAATTAATCATTCAGAAGTAATAGGCACCCTAGTCAAAGTTTTAAATGATTTTTCTGACGATTTCTATAAAAGAATTGTTTACTGTTTTCTTTTTGATAAGAGCCATTTTCCCACACTTACAAAACTGACCAAACCAACATGAGACCGTATACTAGGAAAACGTATAAAACATGATTCGATACATCTTTATCTCCTCTTTGGAACGATGAAAATCACAGCCCTTTATCTTGTTTCTATCAACAATTATTCAAAAACTATCACATAGGTAATAGTAGTACTACCGGGCACATATCATAGCGAAATAAGTCTTATCGAAAGTTTATTATTATGATATTAGCTGAAGTATGATCAAATAGAATAGAAAAAAATAACATTTTTTTCTCTATCAGATTATATAGAAAGAAAGTTTGTTAAAGCTTACTATACGATATTTAGGTGTCAGTGCCACTACTTTTGGTACGTCATAAGTAGATCTACTATGAGTAATTTTTTCAATCGGTACAAAATGTTTCTACCGAAATTTTTTTTTACAATTTTGTACAAATAAAAATTTCATAGAATGCCCTACTTTATTATGAACAATCATCATTTTGTACCGAGTGAAAAAAATTTATCATAGTTGACCTAGGCTGTGTCGAAATAAAATTCTGCACATATATTCTGAAAGACCACAAAGTTCTGATCCTAACTGACTGGTTTTAGCTCTCGACAATTGCCTTTAAGCACTCAAGAAGTTAGCGAATATTTTTTGCCAAGATTTTCGCGTCATAGGTTGAATTATTCTCAAATAATTAGACTATCATTTTTTTTTTTTGAATCGTTAGCTCTTCCTTTATTCATAGTTAACTGTAAATATTATATAAGTTATTATTATTCTTATTTACAATTTATTATCTTAAATTATTGTATTATTATTTACAATTGTATTGAGATTATAAGATATAATATTTTAGGTATATACAATATAAAATACAATGTACAATTATACAAAAATANAATTTCGTCTTATACATTATCGAAGAAAAAGACGTGCCCGCTCCTCCTCTTTCGATTGGTGAAAACCGCAGGTAGCTAGGTATTGCGGTTGTCGAGTTATTGAGCTTACACTCACCCCTCTTTTATTCTGGCGCGGACATTAGTTTCTATACGAAAACTTTAAACAAAATTCATTTTACTTAGTGTCTCGGCGTACGGTATGGAGAAATACGATCGTTATACTGAGCCATATTATAATATACTAAATACGATTGTATACGAATTTTGTTGTCTTGGCTCTGGAAATAGATCAGACATCTCAATGAATCGGACTGGATGGAAGAAAGTCTGACAATGAGTTATTAATTGTGATCTGGGCCAAATCATGGTTTTTTCTTAAAAGATGGTTCATCCATGGATTATTCATCTAATTGTATTGAATAAATTTTTGACATGTTGATGAGCATGCAGTTTCGAATATAAATTGAACTTTGAAATTAATCATTTGAAAGTTCTCTCAAGGATGCATCACAACAAGTTGAACCAATGAATAACAAGTCGATCTATCTCATCAACTATTCAAAATATAATCATGAGAAAGAAAGTCTACTCATCATCATCTTCTTCTACTATTGATGATTCTGTCAAGATTCTGAATCATTTTCTGTTCTTAATGTATCATAAAAATCTTTTATATTAAAAAAAAGGAAAATTTAGCTTTTTTCATCAACTGGTAACGAAATTTATTGAGGAAAAATCATATGATTCCTTCTACCAATTGTTCGTTCAATTAATAAATGATTTCCAATTACATGAGATGGTAAGTTGCTATTTCCTAAAAATTCAAATGAAATGATTATGAAAAAATTCATCAGAATTTAATTCAGTTACTTGAGAAATAAGCACAGAAATTTGCCTTTAACACAATAGTTGACAACATTTTTTGGACGATCTTTTAAATTGACTTATTTTGCTCTATAATTGTTAAAAATAACTGAAACCATATAAATAAAAAGAGCAAAATATAAGCTACATTTTGATAACAAAAACTTTCTGAAAGTAAAATATTTATGAAGTAATATGCTGATCTTTTATGAGACAACTGATTATGTTCATGTGAAATTTTCATCGTTTTAATATAATAAGTAATTTTTCTTCTCAAATATCATATTCAAAAGAGTGTCTGGCACTGCATAAGATAATCGATGATTTAAAATACTCTTATCTGTTTCTATTGAATCGTAATCTCCGCCCAACATTATATTTTTATTAATAATCAAAAAATAGACTATTTTTTGAACAAAACAAGAAAACAACTTAAGTAAGTGATTAGTGCTATGTGTGAAAATAGTACAAATGTTAAATGACCATCGTAAGTTTATATTTTGCCAGCTTTATTCAGGGTGTACATGTAGATATGAGGGTCGGACGGAGTTGGAAAAAAGACATCCGTTCTTGTATCATTAGTCTAAAGCATTTAGACAACAATCTTTGATAATAAATAAGTTTTAGAAAAGTCTGAGGAGAAAAATTGCACTATAAATGAATGATCCTCTGAATGTATTAGGCAAAGACTATTTGAAATGAATTTATCTAACTAGATACTTTTTATACAATTGATTTAAAGAATTTCCTTTGATAGTTGTGCTCAAAATCTAGTTGTTACTTAATTCATTTAGAGTTTTCTATTTCCAATTGAGAAAACAAATAGAAGTTTATTTACTGTTTAAAATCTATATGTACTTGTGATGGTTTTATATTGGCCAAATGAGCTGATATTAACCAATTAATTTGTGTCAATTACGTCTGATAATCAATTTATTTCTTAGAAATTAGTGCTCTTAGACATTATCAGATCAAATAATAAAGTTCGTTACGATCATTAACTCATAAAACAATCAAATTCATTACGAGTTCTTGTACATTTAAGATTAAACTGTTGTCTAGCTCACCAGATCAGTTCATACGAATGAATTTGTTTGAGTTACCACATATCTATCGAAAATAGTTCTCTTCAAATGTTAATTTTATATTTCATTATGAGAATTTAATTATAAATTATTCTTTTTCGATGTTTAGTCACACAACACAACGTTACTTTTCCTTCCTACGTGCATTTATTCAATGTACATACGTCATTATATCGAGGCAAAAATGAATCATAACAAATAACAAGATCTTCAACTAGTAATATCTCACAAATGCACTGTTGAATTTAAATGCATTTTGTAATAGACATATTTTTAAAAAATTATTTTATTCAATCCAATGAATAATTTGAAATATATTCATAGACTTCATTGATGCACAGTTGTCAACATATGAATATAAAGTTTTCTTTTAAAATATTTTTGTCGAAAAAAATCCGAAAATTCGAATTAATCTATTATGCTCTTTGTTTTCATTCTTGTTTCAATCAATTGATTTTTCTATTAGTTATTTGTATGATTTCTATTGAAACAACATAAATAAAGATGATTATTGTTAAAATAGTTTGCTTGAAATAAAATTTCATCTATTCAATATCGGATATTATTCTTATTATTGTTCATCGAGTTCATGTAGTTCGAACTTTTAAAAAATCGTCTATAAATAGAATCAATCAAGGGAAGAAAAAAATATATTTATAAGTATAATTATATATAACAGGATTGAAAAAAGTGCATAACAATACGTCTTTATATTTTATATTCTATGACTCAATTCAAAATAAAATAATAATTATTGATGTTCTTCATAATAAAAAATCATCTTGTTTATTTATGAAATTTTCACATATACATTATATTATTCCACTGATAAATCGATACTTCTACATATGCTTTATAATATCCAAGATGATTTTGCTGAAATATTTTATGATAATTTTTGTTTTCTTATTTCAATTATAAAATATGTCCTAATAAATTGAACATGCAAACATACTTAGATTGAATATATAATTATAGAAAATGGAAAACTATCTGTCAGAATTCACAATGAGATGATACAAATTTGCTCGATTACTATTTTAAATGTCTATTAGGATAGATTATTAATAATTTGAAAATAGAACGAGAATGAATAGTCTACAATGAATGTAAAGTTTGTAATAATTGTTATTTAAGAATTTTTCTTATTTTCTATTGTTTGGTTGACTTCTTACTATATATCTATTAATTTTGATATTATTCAAACAGATTTTTAAAATGAAGAATTTATTAAAAAATAAAATAAATGTAATAGTAAAAAAAATGAATACTATACGAATAAAACAAAAAGTCAAATGTCGAATAAAATAATTGTTAAATGTTGTCATGAAATTGTTATACTCAATATAAATATTACTTAGCTGATCTAAACAAAACAAAGAAAATATTTCTAAATGAAAATTCAATGGAAATAACCGTTTTTGTGCATGTTGTTCAGTTACATCTCTAATTGCTTTAGTTCGTTGATGATCAACATCTTTATAATTCAATATTTGTTGATCTTGACGACAATCGATCACTGGAATTTCAAATTTTCGTGATTGTATTTGCGAAGTTTCTACATAATTAATATTATGCGTCGTTTGTATACTTTCGGATGGATTTAAATAACAATCAGATAATGAATCTTTTAAATAGAAATATATGAAATTGAAGAAAAAAGTAAATCAGTTTAATTTATTCTACCACGATTAATTGACTTATTGTCATACTTCATCGATTGAGATAAAGCTCCAGGCATCATTGGAAAATAATCAACATCTGAATAAGATTTATTTACTTGATTAACAATTGGTGAACTATTTGCAGATAAAATAAGTTCATCCGGATTTAATGAGCATCTTTCTTTAGTTTTCTTTTTCTTCTTTTTTTTGTTTTCATTATTATTAACATTCAAATCATTTGAAGAATGACTTTTTTTCATTTGGTCATTATCATCCTTTCAAAATAAAAATGAAATCAACAATTATTTATATATATATATATATATATATATATATATAGTCGGATTTCATAGTATACTAAAAAATATTTTTTCAATAAAAAAATTCATTTGAATACCTGATATTCATGATGAATATTATTTGATTTAGCTTTCTGAAGATGTTCATTACTTCGATCTTTAGATGGAAGTCGTTTACGAATGAACGATAACATTATTAACAACCAACATCCAATTTAAAATGTCTTTTCTCTCTCTTGAGCAATATTAGATTAATAAATTATGAATCATTTTTTCGTATGTAGATGATTCATATGTTCTATGATTGGTTCATATTTAACCATTCTTTACTTTTTCCGATCAATTCATCATCTTACATTATTACCGATCGATACTTAAACGATTTATATATAATGAACATCTTAAATGAATTACTTTTTTAAAAGAACCTTTTATTCATCAGTGAATTATTAAACAAAAAAAAGTTTCATTTGGCAGCGTGTTTCTTTATGCTTATTTTATATAATGATATACGCAGCAATGGATAATATTGATGATTTAATAGTTGTATTATTGTAGTTTGTGAAAAAATACCTTGTACTTTTGCGTCAAGCAGTATATGATCATATTTAAACCTTTTTCAATTATTTTTTATGAACATCAGGGGTGCAACAAATCTTTGAGATTTGGATTTGGTTTAAATTTGATTCTAAACGTAGATTTCGTTTATATTTGGATTGCAGCTATGGTTTGGATTGATTTGGATTTAGAATTCAGAATTTTAGCTAACAGTGTCGATTTAGGATTTAGGATTTGATTTTAGTCCAACATGACCCCAACTCTGGAGTTAAGTTAAAATGAAACTAAATTCGAACGTCAAATCTAAATATAAGAGTAAATCCAAATGATTTCATACCAGTTTTCAAGACTTGCGACACTTAGCTAGCTTTCAAAAAATTTTCATTGTGAGGAACGGTTGAAAAATTCGAAAAACTACTTTTGAAATACAGATTTTAGTGAAAACAATCAGTACCTCAGCCTAATATTCGCTTCAAGTTATATGCCAGTTGTGAAAGCAGCTGTGCTACATAAAACTCGCCGAGATCTATCGAAATGATATCAAATTAATCCATATTCATCATGAAGATCACGCTCTAGCAGGGGAAGAGAGGGATCATACAGATTTTGGGGGGTCTATATTGTGACCAAATACTCTTTTAAAGGTTTTTGTCAGTTAGGAAAGTATTTATGTAAAAAAAAGTCTCGATAATGTCTTTTGGTTGATATTAGATTGCATCATGTTCATCACGAAGATCCGCCTTGGCTTCGGGAATGACTGGTAGGATAGATTATTTGGGCTCATGTTATGACCATTTATTTGCCTTTTCACATATGGGAAAATGAGGATACAGTTGGTTTTAGGGTAGCACTCAATGACATATGTCCAACGATATAGTTTTCAAGCCTATTTATAAACTGGGAAAAACGTGGACATGACGATTTTCCAGCCGCATTAGGATAGTTAGATCTTTTCAACTGGTAATTCATTTCTCGATTTTCGCACTAATTTTTGTGGCGTTTTTAAATGAGTTAATTCCATGGATAGTTGGATTGTGCTTTGAGTAGTGGAAATCGAGATTTCGATGATAGAGCAATGTATCAAGGTTAGATTCCAAATCCTAAGTTTCGAGTTGTCTCCTACTCATAATTGAAGTTGGGCAAACTTTGGACAGTGATATGGGTTTCTGTAAACTAAAACCTAAAGTGGTGGAATCACCAGTCAACTGAAATGGAAAACCGATGGGAGTAGCTTTGATCGAAAATAGGAACCTCTCAGTAGCACCGCAAATGTAACAGAAATTTTTCGAAATCTTGGTTGGACCTTCAGCGAAAAAATTTGCTTGACCATTCGAGAAGTGAAACGAAATTTCACAAGTTCACCGACAGACGAAAACTAGTTTCGAAAGACGAGTAAGGAACTGATTGGGAGAAATTGTGGTACTCGTTTCTGGAATCTTTATTGCCAAACAGGTAGCTAGTGACAGTGCTACAGGGATCACTCTTTAGTTATATGACCAGATAATTAACATTTCATTTCAAAGTTAACTTCAGCAGTTATTTATTGAAATCCATCTCTTTTTATTCACTACACAAAACAGAATGAAAGACACGCCAAGAGAAGAAATACAAAGAGAAGATAAAGACAAGAAAAGAAGAATTACCTGACGAAATTTATAATGGTTTAAGCAAGCAAATATTGTCCGCAAATGTATACTAGATGCTTTGATAAATAATCTGCCACCTAAGAACACACAAAAATTCTTAAGCTACTCTAACTTGCCAAATACAAAAACAATTCCTGCAAATGAATAGGATTCAAGTTGATATGCTTCAACAGATCGCATTGAATTACTCCCTGAGACAACTCTGTTGTCAGTTGACACAGCTCTTAGAACCAATATTTACCCACAATATAAACCTCACTATCCTATCCTACTAGTTATTCGCCAAGTTAACATCAATCTTTGTGATGAACATGACTTGATTAAAGACGAATCGATATATCGCATTGAGCTCTATCAGGAGCAAAGGCTTCCTTAACTAGCATACTTCCCGCAGAGAATATTAGGTCATAATATGTATCCTGAACACTTATATCATGACGTTTATCCTGCCTGAGACCGAGCTTGATGATGAACATGAATAAATTTTATACGATTCGATAGATTTCGTCGCGATCTATCTGGTACAACTGTTTCCATAACTGTTACACGTATTGAAACAAATATTAGATCGAAATACCGGCTTTTTCACAAAAAACAGTGTTTCAAAAGTAGTTTTTTGAACTTTTCAGCCGTTTTTCACGATGAAAATTTTTCGGAGGCTAGGCATTCCATAGCATATTGAATGCTCTATCTGACATAAGTCTATTTAAAAATCTTTCCCCAAAACACTCGAATCTGCTGCTAATTTTACTTACATCAAACGAACATATCTTTGACAAGATATCCAATGTCCAAAAAACAGCTACTTACCATAGTAAAACAGTGATGAAGTCGCCTTTTCTTAAGGTTCCTCTCCCTCAAAAATCGATCTCAGCCCAGGAACGTTTGACTGACATGAATTTTTCAGGATACCTTGTGGCTGTAGTGAGAGTCAAAAATAGCTAATTTGGTAAACAAAATTTCTTTGTCTAGGTGCATTCCATTTAATTAATTTTTTTTATTTGAAAGAGCATGTCAGGATGCAGTGCAGGACAGAGACCTTTTTTTCTTAAATTCTTACTTTTTAAGCGGATAAAAGGGATCGAAAGTTCAATGACTCAAAAACCTTTCTAAAAATGGCGTTCTAATTTTATAAATGTTTGTATATATAGTAAAAGCAAAGCTTAATAAAAAAAAAAAAAAGAACTCTGTACTACACTGCGTCTTGACGTGCTCTTTCAAACAAAAAATAAATAAAATACATTGAATGAATATCGACAGAGAAATTTGGATTGCGCGATCAAGAAATTATAAATGAAGAAAAAACAAGGTGCCGAATAAAAATTTTTGTCGCTTATGAAAGATTAGATCACGGGTTATCTTCCTATATACATTTATCTTAATTTCGACCATTCTAATGAAAAGTAACTTGTTATAAGGGGGGGGGGGGGGGGGCTTAATATAAAAAAGAAAATATTTTCCTAAATGGGAAGAAAAACAGTAAAGCATATTAATATTAAATATTATGATGTTTAGTTCGAACTGCTCTTTCTAGAGGAAAGGTTTTCG